ATTTCTGAGAAGAGCTTTTTCCAGACATACCTGAAGATGCTGGAGATTGAACCCCGGACCATCTGCATGCAAAGCAGGGGCTCTACTTCTGAGCCATGTAGAGCAACACAGGAATGATGCAGCCATGGCTTAGGATTTCTGAAAACAAGTGTCATTAGTTTGCACTGTGTACACAATCCAAAGCACTTTAATACAAGTTAAGAACCTTTGCCAAACTTGATGTCCTCCAATGGTCAAGCTGACTAGGGATGATGGAACTTAGAGTGCAAAACATCAGAAGGCACCATGTTGGGAGCAGGCTCACTTAACATGTTCTTTGGTATAAAAATGGGTCTGTAGTTGAGCCACACTGCAAATTTTTAGTGCAGCTCCAAATGCCAACACACAACTATCTTACAGAAGAGAGTTCACATGGGTTACGAACAGATTTGTGCTGGTTTTCCAGACCCACTTTTTGTGATTCTGAGCATTCACTTATCTTATAAAATAAACCAAGCACTACCATAGAAACCACTGTTTAGCAGAACCAGTCTACAAATGTTACTCACCCACTTTCTGAGGTCCTTGGGTGATTTTAGATACCCCCTTTTCTCTTTTCAAGGAACTCAAGGTGGCTTACCTAATTCTCCTCCAACATTCAATCTTAACCCTGCAACAACCCTGAGATTGGGTCAGTCACAGACTCTCTGCCCAGGCAAAGTCACCCACTGAACTCCAAGGCTGAGTGGGGACTAGAACCCAGATCTTCTGAGTTTGAATAATAATAATGCCATGTCCCATTATCAGCAATAGTGGTATATGAAAAAGAAATAAGGTAAAATTAGTATTACATACCAATTCACCATGTAGCTTGCATGTTAATTCCATAATAAAAGTTCCCTGTTACCATGTGTGAATGTGAAGAGAACAAAGCCTACCAAGATGAAACCCTCTGAACTCTTAGTTTACTACAGGAGCTGGTCTCTTAATCTGTATGCAGTGCCTAATTTCTGGTAAGGAATTAATGAGAGATCTACCATCTCTATCTGTCTTTGGCCTTGTATTCTAACTAGATTATAGTGGTTCAACAGAAAAACAATTAGCATATGCTGAAATGTGACACTGTCCACTATGACACTGAAATCAAGATCTGGTGATAATGAAGTCAGGCTGAATTTAATGAATAATAGTACCATCTGCCCAAGAGAGAAGTATTTGCCCTTTATTCGCCTTTTAATCCCAATGTGGTGAATTTTTGTTCTATGAAAAGACAGATGTTTAAAAGTAACAGTAAGATAGATGACCTGAAGAGGACTATGCTGTTAACTAAATTTCTCATAGATATGGCAAATAACTGGAAAACATGAGCTCAAACTTTTAAAGTTGACCATAAACCTTGTCTTCAGGTTAAAAAAAAAACAATGAACAAAATTAGCATTTCACCAACTTGAAGACTGCACATTATTTTCCATCATTCAAGCTGAGATTCAGTCTGCAGTCCTGCATCCACTTGTAACTTCAAGACTTTCTTCTTTTCAGTAAAACAGAAACCACATGGATTCAGGTGGGCATGAGCTCCTCCTGTTTTCCTCCATCTGCCAACAGCCTTCAAGTAAGTTACCTTAGAGGTAAATAGCCAGAAGCAGAGTTGAACATTACGTCAATCTGTGCACTGATCAGGCTTTATTGTTAATCTAAAACCTGGACTGCCCAGAATGTGCTGATTTTTAATGTACTAACACATGGAATATGGCTCTCACATTCATATATGAAAATTGTCTAAGCTACAAGTGTA